GCGAGAGCCTCTCGGCCGCCGCCTTCTGCCGGCGGCGCCTGCCCTGCCTGCTGGTGAAGCTGCGGATGGCCCAGAACCTGCGCCACGCCGTCACCTTCGTGGAGCAGGGACACGTCCGCGTGGGGCCCGAGGTGGTGACCGACCCCGCTCTCCTCGTCCCCCGCGCCGTGGAGGACTTCATCACCTGGGTGGACGCCTCTCGCCTCCGACAGAAGGTGCTCGACTACAACCAGGAGCGCGACGACTTCGACCTGGCCGCCTAGGGATGCGCCGCCTGCCCTGCCTCTGCTGCCCGCACTCGTCTGCTCTGCCCCTTAGGACACGCGTGGGAATAAACACGCACCAGTAAAACCACAGCGGTGCCACCATCAGATGTTTACCCCCCGCAACCGCGCCCGAAAGGGGAGCAAGGAGGGAGCGTACGTACTTCTAGTAACGTATTGCTCTGCTCCTAGCTCCCCTTCACAGCTAACGGCTCTGTTCGTCCGTGCGGAGAAACTTCCCCTCCACATCCATCGCTCCGAGAAAACATCCGATAGCCCAGCTCCATCATACGTACATCCCGTAAGGTGAAAGTGCTTCCAACGGTCTCTGCCTGATCGCAGGAGAGGATGCGGCCGGGTTTAAGTGCTTGGCTGCTGATAACAGCCGCTGGAAGGGGTTTTAAGCCAGGCTGAGCGGCTGGTTTAGGACTGAGTTTTGCAGCTTCGCTGCTGCTTTTCTAAGAGGTTGCCCTGCCGGTTCCTCCTTCAGCTGATGAGTGTGCGGTAACCGGAGGAGCTGCTGCTGGAAGGGCCTTCTCTTGATACCAAGGAACGTGGATATGGGGGAAATGCGGGGGTTGTTTGGGGTCAGCAGTAAACAGGGAGTCCAAGTACTGCATTTCTGGAACTGTAAAAGTTTTAGCCAAAAATGGAATTAAAAAAAAAAAAAGCCAACTTTATTTTCACATGAAGTCATAAAGGGAAGTTTGATACCGAGTTCAGTATCTTTGCTGTGTGGGGTCCCAGGTGACAATTAGGCATTGTTTATGGAGCGGGATCTACCTGGGGAGGCGTTGGGGTGAAAGCTGTCCTAACCGTAACCGCAAATCTGGGGGGAACTTCTGCATTTAGCACATAAGCCAAACAGAGGGGAGCCTCAGGCCTTCTGGGGCTGTTGGGAACTTTATTACCCTCTGAAATAAAGAGCAGAAAAGCAAAAATAAAACAGTTGTTTTAAGTTGAAGAAATGGGTGTGCTATTTTAATGATGTAGTTTCTCTGAGAGTTTCTTCTGATTTTTAAATATTCCAGTAAGCCCTGTTTGTCATCTTGCAGAACATTTTTTTTATGTAACTTCTTTTATCTAACTTTTTTTATGTAGCTTTTTTTTTTTTTGATAGCTACAAGGCTATTACTGAGTTATAAAGTGTTTTTTGGCTAGAAATGCTTTCTTTCCCTTACCCAGGGCTACGAAAGGGTTTGGCAGTAGGTTTAGGAGCGGAGCTGTGACTGCCCATCCCAAGTCCAAAGGGCTGGAGGTCAGCTGCAGCCACTGCTCTGGGCCTGGGCGCTTTCGTGTGGCTTTTCTGAACAGGAAAGGTGTTTAGGTGAGGGGTGTTTTGAGGTTATCGAATCGGGACCAGAAACTGTCATCAAATACTATGGCTGTTTTTTAAAATGCAAACTAAATGTTAAAATTCCTACCAGTCTTATAAGCCAAATGTATTAAGCAGAGCATTAACTTTTAAAGCAATAACAGACATTAAGAAAAGGACATGGAAGAGGTGGGGGAACCCCCCCTATGAACTACTCCTGTTTATAATTGAATTTCTTTCAGTAAAACATCCTGTAACACCTTAAAAACCTTTTTCCTGAGGCATGAGCTTTTCTTATGGTAAGAAGTACAAATTGAAAAAACGTTTTACACCTGAAACATGACTTTTTTTTTTAAACACCTTTCCAGCTTTCCTCTAGAACAATGTCGTTATTTCTTGGGAAATTCAGAAGGTGCCTAATTCAGGTGCAGGTAAAAATGCTGCATTCGCTCTGCTTTACTCTTTTGGGGGAATTTTAAATAACAGCACAGTGACATGCCCTGTGCAGGGCATTTTACTACTCAGATGCTAAACTGCTGCTCTGCCCAGTTTGTCCAGCCCTCTCGAAGGAACAGCAGAAAAGGAAACCTCGAACCTCCAGCGTGGATTGGGGGGGTGGGGGGTTGTTACTGTCAGTAGTTTACATCATCAGCCTGTTCTTTTTGTCCTAAACCAACTTTTCATTTGTGCACCGCCAGCATCTTCTGTAGCAGAAGAGAAACAGCCCCAAAACCTCTAGGCTGTTAAATTACACTACGGCAATGGTAGCTAACTGATTTCCCTGCGGATGCTGTGGGATGACAGCATCCATCACCCCCGCTCTTCTCCTGCGGTATTGGAAATCAAACCCGTACGTGCTTTTTAAGAAATGCATCAGGTTGTGTCTTTATATGTCTCTGTGTGTCTTAAGTCTGGAAGTCTGTGGCCCTGCTGGTTTTACAGTAGCTGAGACCTGAGATGAGTGTCCTGCTCCTAAATTTTTAACGGCCGGAGTCCACACAGGCCTTGGAGGAGAGGTGGGTCCACTTCGAGTGTGATAAACGGAGCGTTGTCTTGATCCGAAAATGAAAGTTACATCTGACAGCAGCATGCCCACATTCTTGCTCGTGAATGCAATCAGGCAGATGAGGGCTTCCTCGTGTTTAATGGTGTTTCTGCCTTTAGTTTGTGGGTTTGAGTTTGTTTGCCAGAGCCGACGTGCTGTGGCTGTCGCCGGGTGGTTCCCACAGCGGCCCCGGAGCCGGGGATTGAAAGGGCGCAGGAAGCAGCTCCCACAGCCTTTCCCGGCACTGGGATAAACACAGAGGCTTTTTTTAAATCCCAAGGCTGGATCCAACATCAGTATAAATCGGCGCTGACTTCCACGGGTCTGTGCGAGCTGGCACAAGGAGGTGATCCGGCATTGTGCTTTTTTGGGCCAGATCCTGCAAACTCTCCCCTCCAGCGCTCCAGGGGCTTGCAGTGGGAGAGCTTACGCACATGAGAGCGGCAGGACGGGGTCGTGGGTGTCGCTACGCTTCTTCCCAACACCTTCTGAAGCGGGTTTGCTGTTCCTCAGGCTGCTCAGCATCTCCATGAAGCTTGTGGGAAGTTACTGGTGGAGGAGGACAGAGGATGGTGGTGCTGGTGTCGGGGTGAGCTGTCCCCACGCCTGACAAAACCTGATCTCTGCCGCCTCCATGAGTGTCCATCCCAGCAGCTGGGGGCTGGAGAGGTGCTAGCTTCTCCAGCAAGGGAGAAGGAGGCTGCGGGGGGGTCTGGGCAGTGCAAGAGCCCTCAGAGCAAATGGTGAGCAGTTCCCACGCAGGAGCTCTCACTTGGATAGTGGGCAGCGGTAAAGGAGGTTTTACTGGGGCCTACGGTTTTAGGGTTTTTTTCCTTGGTTTTTTTTCTTTTCTTTTTTTTTTTTTTTTTCCCCCTGACCTTGGCTTGTCCGTTATTTGAAGGCTGCCAAAGCTGGGGAGCTGAGCCTGGGGAATGTGAGGGAGCTGAAGGAAAGAGTCCTTCACACTGATGCCTTTTGTGTTGCAGGGTGTAAATGGCTGAGGCTGTCACTGAAATGCAAATGTGTATTTTTCCACTGATCTGAGCCACTTTTTTTTTTCCAGTAAACAAGCATACTGCACGTTTTACAGACTGCTTCCATCCGACATCTTGGTGTGGCTTAGTGCGGAGGTTATGCTGACCTCAGTATTCGGTGATGGCACATCACCATGAGCACAGACGGCATGCGAGGCTGGGGAAGGACGGTACATCCCCCTTCTCGAGATGGGAAATGGAGACTGAGAGAAGCAAAGGTGGAGCTGGGCGATTCCCAGCCTTTCGGGTGATGTTCCTGCATCCCGGGTTAGGCCAAGGCCTCCCAGCTATGTCTCAGGGCACTTCCATGTGCTCATCTCGGTAGCACTCCCCAGTGAGATATTCCCCAGCGGAAGGAGGTGTCACTGTCCCCTTCTTGAGCTCCGAGTAATCTGTTTTAAGTACATCCCCTGCCTGATTTGGCACTGGAGATTGAACCAAAGAGCCATTTCTCATCACCAGGGCATGGGATCACCTTAGTCCCTACCCCAGATACCAAAGCATTCCAACATTCACTGGGTCTGGGGGAAAAAGCACCACTAAGCATTATGACAGCGTTCACCTGAGAGCCATAGTTCTGGTTCCTGCTCTTAAATGCCCTGTTTTAGGCATTGAATCAACTTTTCTTACCCTTTGCTTGCTGGTTTGGGCCTGAAGCAGGACCTGGCTAGTGGAAAACCTATCTGCTGTGTGGTGGGGACGTCAGGTGGAAGCAGCAGGCAGCAGCCTTGGAGTCAGCAAGAGGAGGCAGTTGGGTTCAGCCTTCCCATAAACTGTGGAGCTTCTGGATCCAAGGGCTAAGTCCAAGTGTACCTCCCTCAGCAGGAACATCCCCTCTCACTTCTCTGCAAGCACAGAAAAGTCCCTTCCCCCCTAAGATTAGCCGATTTTGAAGAGAGAAAGTGTTTCACTTCCAGCAGGCAGAGAAAAAGGGGAGGCCAACCACTAACGACAGCCAGAGATGGAGATTTGAGCATCTCCAGTTTCCTCCTAGAGCTGCCCTGTAAAGGATCCCCCGTGTCCCCAGCAGTAAGTTACAACAGCTTCTCCGCTGCTGTAAATCATGTCAGCGGGGTTGGTAAGTGCAAGTCCGGACAGCGTTGCTGCCCACGGTTCCTACCCTGAAGAGCCTTCACCTGCTGCTCCTGGAGAGGCTCAGGTGGTTGTGTCACGGGTTACAGTACAGGCAGGCTCTCCCAGCGGGTTCGTCTGGCTAACGTCACAGTCCACCACCTTGTCACCTATATCTGAGCTCATGGGGCTTAAAACACACCAGGGGGAACCACATCCTAAAACTGCCGTCTCTCTCCCCACCGGCTCTAACAGCAGCCAGGGCGCAGGGTCCTGTGCAGGCGTCCACCTTGCAGATGCTGGGTTTGGGGGAGATGAATGCCGTGCTGGCAGAACACCCAAAACCTCCTGCTCTGTGTCCCTCTCAGCCTCCAAGAAGAACTTAGTTCGGGAAGGACTGCTGGAGGTCACCTAGTCCAAACCCCTGCTCAAAGCAGGGCACGCATGGGACTGCCTCGGTTTTGCATGTCTCAATGCTGGACGCCTGAAGCAGAGTATAATCACCCTCACTGTGAATTTTTTTTTCCCCTTCCATCTAGTCTGAGTTTCCCCCGCTGCAGCCTGGGACTGCTGCTTCCCATCCCCACGCTGGGCACGTCCGTGTCAGGAGGTGGGTTACTTTTCCCCGTGGGAAAACTCGATTCACCTTTTCCCTGAGTGCTGGCCGTACAGGCGGCGGGGAAGGGGCACGTCCACGCGCTGCAGCTTACCCGGGGTGAATCCCGCCCCTCTGTAGGGACACGCAGGGATCTGGGGCCAGATAAGGGGCTGGAAGGGAGGAAGTGGAGGAGCACAAGCCCTTGAGGATCGGGGACAGGCTTTGGGAAGAGCAGGCTGAAGCCAGGGAGCAGGAGCACTGGCAAGCTGCGCGAGGGGCTGTGCAGAAACTACCCAGCTCCTTAAAGTCCCCCTCGTGCCACCGTCGCTCCTCCCCGTGCTTTCCCCAGACCCTTTTCCCCCCTTTTAGCAGCACCCAGCACTCCACGTACCTGGTGTGCGGTGTCCCGGACGCCCCCTGCTCCCGTCCTGCTGGCCGAAGGAGCAGGATGGACCCTTCGGCCGCCCACGGCCCTCCGGAGCCAGGCGAGAGGCGACTGCTCCCGCAGGAGGACGTCTTTCTCGCGGGCAGACCGACTGCCGGGCTCTCCCTGAAGGGGAGGGACCAAACTTTGCCTTAGTTTTCAGATGAGAGAATCTTTCTGGGAGAGATCTTCCCTGGGCCTGGAAAACAAGTTTTCGGCATGGAGCCATCCCCAAAAAACACTGCACGCCCCAGAGGACCCCGCGGCTGCTTAAATGCTGGGCCGTGCCTTTGTATGGCAGGGACGGGTTTATATACGGGCTTGTTTGCATGTGGCTGCGAATTTCTGGCTTTCCTCGCGGCGCTGCCAAGCGTGGTGGCGTAGGGCTGGATCAAGCCCCGGGATCCCTGCGAGAAAATCCCCCCCGCCGGGTTGCAACATCCCGCGGAGGAGCTGCAACGCTTATGGCTGGGCG